ATAGCCGTAGACTAGCCTCTGGAGAATCCAGGGAGATCCTGTGGAACATCTTAAGGATTTCTATAGGATATGTTAGGGATATTTTTCATACGTTAAAAGGAACAAATTCTAAAATTTAAATATAAATTAAGATTGCGTTCTGTCCCAGTAAACGCTAGATATTCCTGGAATATTTATAAAATGTTCCTATGATCCAAAATTAACATCCGAAGAATATTCCAAAACATTCCGGAATATTTACAGAATGTACAAGGAATATTCAGATAAGCGCGAAATGTTCCATTTTTTATCCATATTTTGAATATTCCAAAAATATTCTCAGGACATGCTTGAAAAACATTCGGAACATATCCCATGTATATTCCATCATATATTCAGAGTGATATATATTATACAGTAAAGATTATTTTAAGAAAGGGTTTTATAAATTATTTAGATGGTATTCATTTATGAATATGATTCATTTATTCAAAGATTATAAATATAAGACAATATAAAATAAATTTGATACTTCTTCAAGGTACGAACCACCGTACAGACAAATAACGTGTAATAGTCACGTAATGGCTGCGTTCAGTATACAAAAGATGCCACGAGACATCCTTCTCGTCCTGTAATTAAGACTCTTTTTCTTTTTCTTAATTGTACGGCCTACGACCTCGACACTGAATACGAAACGCAAATAATACCGGCAATATCGGCACCAATTCCTCTCACATGCACATGCTCAGTCAATCAGTTCCTGATATGCATGCAATATGGGCTTACGCACGCGTGAACGCAAGAGTCAGCCAATCACAGACGTAGTCGCTGCGCGCGCAGGTAATGAAATGTGTGCGTACGTCGGTTTTCACTAATGTCCGATAAGATTGATCCAAGAGGGTTCCATTAATATTCTATGGAATATTTTGTGTATGTTCCATACATATATCAAAATGTACACTGAATATTCCTTATTGCTCATACAAGTAGTGTTCATAGAATATTCTGAATATTTCACGATTATTTGAACGTTCTGTGAACATTTCTCTACTATTTCGGTATATACGGAACTTTTGGAATACGAATGGAATATTTCAGGAATATCTAGCGTTTACTGGGTAATATTTTCGTATTTTTGATTAAAACGGCCGATTGATGTATGTCCATGCTAGATCCATAATTGTGGATCTAGCACGGACATGCACCAATCGATCGTTTTACCATGGCACCGAAAAGTGGATCCGGCCACGTAGTTCCGCCGGCTCTAAAATGGATCCAGTTAGCGTCACTGTACCGGCTAGAGAAAGCGTTACAGGAAAAACGGCGGCGTGGCCCCTCTCAGGTTTCTCTCTGCTGAGGGATTAATTTTAGCGACATCTGTTTCAGAACTAATTTGGTCACGTGATGACATAGCGAAAAGTCGCGCTAAATTCAAATCTATGTACAAACATATGCTTACATCATACTTCGTTATGTGCATTTTAATTATATAATAATTTGAGTCCTGAATAAGAGATAAGGATTATCATGGATCTCTCATCAAATGATCAATTAAACAATAATTAATTGTAAAAAAATTAAAAATAAACAAAAACACGTATACTCTCAATGCAAAGAAATTTGAATATACCGAAATACTATCAATGCATCAACGTGTATAAATGGCAAGAGGAGATATAAATAATGACAAAATTTAAAATTTTATATACATCATATATATAGATGTATATAAGCTTTTTAGAACTTTATATGTGCGCGCCCAATGTGTGTATTTGTGAACAACGATTAGACAATCAAATTTTGTTTTGGATTGCAAAAAATATAAAAATAAATGGAAGAATACGACCAAAAAATAAATAGATTACGACTGTAATCTAGATCGCAAGATCGCATAATCGGTGATGGTGGGTGATAAAATAAAATTTGTTACAACTTAAAGAGTTAGCTTATGCTACAAGAAAGATAGGATACGCATAAGGCGAAGAGTGTGCTGGAAGTAGTAAGAAGGGTGGAGACGTAATTGAAATAAGTAAAATCTCTTCTTCTCTTGAAAAGTTGTCATTTTGATATGAAAACGTTCTCGTTTTACATAGGCAAGCCATCGTACATAGCAAATTGTAATAAACTCTATGTAATACAAACAACATCTTCTGTTCTTCGAACGGAACTCGTTCTCCCCCCTCTCGCAACGAGATCACTATTCGAGAATCGGAGTTTAGTTTTATGTGTATATATATATATATATATATATACACACATATATATCTATATACAATATAATGAACAATGTCTGACGCTAAATTGACATAAGACAACGTCATCTATTCGGTGTAAGCAACAATTACCACACGAAAACAATAGAACTCCGCCATGCAGTAACTTAATGCCATCTATGAAAATCGGGCACGAACTTATGCAATCATCCAATATATCAATTTATATCTAACGTTCGGGAGTGTCTTATTTCGAGCGTGGATCCTAATCCTTTGGGCGTATAAATCCCTAAAGACTTCTTCCTTAGCGGCTAGAGGCACAACAAAGATATTGCTGCAAAAAATATGTTTATCAGTATATATATACATATACATATATATACAGATTATTCGGTGATTTATTTTCGATAAACATACACAACAAGAGATTTTGTATTTTTTTTTCTCTTTTTTTTCTTTTCCTGTCTTAAACGCGTGTCCAAAGGCACACACTTCTTTACACATAAATCTCATATATAATACAGTAATATACAAAATTAACTTTTTATAATCTTTCTATAAATGTCGAACGTGACGCGTCGTCTCTTTCCGCGTCATCAATTTATAATGTACAAAGCGCGTATGCGAATGTAGTGTATCGTATGTAATGTATTCGTGAACATGCGGCGTATGTGATTTATGCGACCCTGCCGGCTTCGACAGCTAGAAAAATCCATGAGTTTCAACGAATTACGATAGCATTTACGCTGACTCAAGATTCTCCCAGAGCACGCAGAGTTCTATAGCTTCTTCGTATTGTTCGATTTTCCTATTTATGTATTTGGCGCTAGAAATGCCTTTTGAAACGAATATCTGCATAATTTTATCTGTCAAGGCATTCTCGAAATTGCCAGATCATCTGTCGATTCGTGCGCGGTATATTAAAAGGTGGCTAGATTATAAAAGGAATTGATAGGATTTCATCCGCGGCGAAAATGAACGCTTAATTTTTAAAAAGATGCATTTCTAACGATTTCTTTCAATTCATCGATTCTTTACAACTTATTTATCGGAGTGCATCGACGAAAATCTTTCGTCGAATTATAATACAAGAAAAGTATCTTAGCAAAAAATACTACGCTAAACGGATCTAATTCTGATCATCTAATCTTGATTTCTTGACGATCGATCACGATATCGAGAACAATTTTGTATCTTAGCACACATTTTGATATCGATTGCGTTCGCCACGTTTGATTCATCGCATTACTCGCGTAGAAATTTGGCGCACCGGGCAGGATCGGATAGCACGTTAAATTCGTTTAGAGTAACTCGATTACGTCCGTATAAGAGCGTTTACAGCCTACTGATAGCAGTAACGAGAGGTAGAGAGCATAGAATATCTCAGAGCATCTATGATCAGGGTTGATACATAGTTAATCCGCAATATTTTGAGATGTTTCACTATATATTATTCATTATATAAAGTGTTTCTTTCTTCCATATTTTTTGAAAAATGTATAATATAATAAAAAAAAAAAATATATTTTATTAAGTTAACACATTGTCAATATATTTTCACATAATATAGATATTATACGTACATAAAAATATTTTAATTAAAATAAAAAATATGTTTAAAAAAGAGAGAGAGTTATATTTTATTTTCATTATTTCTTTCTGTTTACTCAAGTTTTTTTAAGTAAACATAATTATATTTAGGAATCTCAAATCGCGAAAAAAGAGTTATTTATTGACTGATAAGATCAATGGAGAATATTAGATGGAAAATCGAATTTACGTGTAGCAACCCCGACCGCCGAAGAAAACGATGTAATGTACAAATGACCACATACATTCGTCAGGCGAGGTTTCATTCAGATTTCACAATGCGACAGTCGAGAGTTCGATCCGTGGCGAATACACACAACTGTCGATTAATTTGACACCGATTGTTGGCTATGAATTCAGCTCGATCTTAGAGAAGGACGGCGTTCCTTCCAAACAGCGCGCATGTCAGCAACAACGTCGTCACCAGGAGACGCAGACTTGATCTAGCGTTTGTCGCCAGGCCGCACTGTTCTTTGATCTCGCTCTCGCGGGTATGGTTGCGTATGCAGGATTCTGGTCGCTTTCGCTTGAGGCCCGCGAATGCCTTCTGGCAAACCAGGGTGTTGTTCTCGTATATTACCTCTTCGGGCGTGATGCTCAGCGTCGGCGACTTCATGTCGCCGCAGCCATCGTTCACCACCACCAACAACAAATTGCTGAAGCTCACCTGCTGCACCACGTATGGTCGTATGCACTTGTCGTCCACATCCACATCGTACATGTCAAACGAGGTATTGCGCAAGTACAGATACACCTGTAGATTTGTGAATAACGATGCATAAGAACTTGCTGAAGAACAAAGGAAATTAGCAAAGACTGCCATTGACTTTTTGCTGTATTATTGAGTTTACGGGTCGAGATTGATATATCCCAAATAACCAAGTGTGATTAATCATATTGATTTAATTATATTGCTGTCATGTTGCCAATAATTATTCAGTTGTTTGCTGTCATGTTGCCAACAACTTATTGTTGGCAATTGCATTATTGTTGGCAACATAAAGCAATCTCACAGACATTTGACTATCTGGGATATAAAAGACTTTATTCAAGATTGTCTGTTCTTGATCATCAATCTCCGTAACAATGCATTCGGAAATGTTTTGATCTCGCTTCATGGCTCGGTATCGATCGGATACAACGGATTATAAAATGACCGCAAGAACAGTTTTATTCCGCAGAAATGAAACGCAGGAACGCAACAGCAGTATTAATAGATAGAATATAATATAATGTGTGTGTGTGTGTGCGCGCGCGCGCGCGCGTGTGTGTGCGTGTGGGTGTGGGTGTGGGTGTGCGCGTGCGTGCGTGCGTGCGTGTGTGTGTGTGTGTGTGTGTGTTTACCTCTTGATCGCACACTTCTAAACGCGTACGATTGATCAGAAGCGACTCGTCGAAGGTTCTCTCTTCCTTCGAATCAGCTGGCGAAGGTTTATCTTCGCTTTCGTGATCATCGTCATGAACGGCGGTCTCCTCGTCATTGACGTAGCCATACGCTTCTGCATAATCGGGCTCCAATATGCCCGTCTTTGCCCAGGCCCAAGCGGCTTGACTGACCATCCACGATATTGCCTTCTGAAGATGTTTCCATGGCTGCTACGTGACAATTTTAAAGCAAATAAAGCTTTTTTTTTATAATTGCAGAAATAATTGCCAAAGTACTGTTTTTCAATTATATTTCTTTAGATTGAAAAAGAAATATTTGCGCATACATACATGCGCTTTTGATCAAGCAATTAAGATTCTTTGTTAATCGTTCAAACAGGATATTAAAGAAATTATTTATCTAGCTTTTCTAAAATCAAAGTATTCAATTTAAAATATTATTATTACAAATGAAATTCTTACTGTAAATAGTGCATTGGCGGCGTTTTTGGACGGTGTACTTTTGAAGCATACCGCTTGATAGTCGAATATCCTTATTCTTTCGAAGACACCCTCCTTGACCAAGCTAAGCATAATCGAACCTTTGATCTCACCAAAGAATCTACCGGCCTCCTTTTCGTCCTCGGCGGCGACTATGTAGCCGTTATTGTCAATCAGATAACATGCCCAGGTGTCATCACCGCAATGCCTGTTGCAATTGCCGAGTCCCTCGCAGCTGAACGTTATGTTCTGGAAAAGTGCTTGCAGGGCAGTGTGCTGGAACTGGAAGCCGACCACTGCAACCGGCGCCTTCATCGTCTTCCCGTTTACTGTAGATTTAACTTTTTCACAGATTTAATATCTTCCTTTACCAAATATATATCAGGTGATTGCATAAGTTCGTGCCCGATTTAAATATAAACTTCAATAGATTATATTTTAGAGATAACACTTTTATTAATCAATTATATAGTCTCCATTCTTTTCTACAATGGTTTTCCAACGATCTACAAGCTTGTCGATTCCATTTTTGAAGAAAGAACTTGGTTTTTCTTGAAAAAAGTTTGTAAGGTGGTTTTCAACAGCTTCCTCGGAATTGAGATTCTTGCCATTTAAACTATTCTGCAAAGACCGGAACAGATAAAAATCTGAAGGCGCAATATCTGGAGAATATGGCAGGTGCTGCAGAATTTCCCATTGCAACTCCTGCAATTTTCGCAGCGTCTGTTGAGCGACGTGTAGCCTAGCATTGTCGTGGTGGAAGATGACGCCTTTTCGATTGGCCAAAATCGGACGTTTTTCTCGAATAGCTGCAGCGAGTCTAGTTAGTTGCTCACAGTACTTGTCCGCCGTGATTGTTTCGCCGCGTCGGAGCAGCTCAAAGTAAATAATTCCCTTGCGATCCCACCAAACACACAGCAACACCTTCATCGGATGCAAGCCAGCCTTTGCTACGGGTTCTGCTCCTTCAGCTGCTGTTTTCCATGTCCTCTTTCGCTGTACGTTTTTGTAGAGAATCCACTTTTCATCGCCTGTTACCATTCGATCTAAAAAAGGCTCTTTTTTGTTACACTCGAGAAGAGAAAGAGCCACAGTCATACGGTTTAGCTTATTCCTTTCAGTCAGGAGATGCGGCACCCATGTATCAAGCTTGGAAACGTATCCAAGCTTTTTTAAATGACGAAAAGCGGTTGAATTATCGATGTTCAGCCTCTCAGCAATATCCTCAGTTGTAATCCTTGGGTTTCTTTCCACTAAGGCATGCACAATGTCATCATCAATGCCAGAAGGCCGTCCAGAGCGGGGTTGATCCTCCATGTTGAAATCACCATTTCGAAATCTGCCAAACCACTTTTTGACTGTTCGGAGAGCAGGAGCGCGGTCCAAATAAACGGTTTGAATATTTTTTTGTGCAATCCCAACACTCACGCCTTTCCGAAATTCATATAACATTACATGCCGCAAATGCACCTTTTCGTTCTCCATTTTTAATGATTTCTCTTATGCACAAATGGACTTATCTGAACAATGTCTGACGCTAAATTGACATAAGACAACGTCATCTATTCGGTGTAAGCAACAATTACCTTTACCAAATATATATAATTTATTAGTTAGTTATTATAAATAAATTATAAGGCTTCTTTGTAATGCAAATTTTTCCACGTTGTCGATATAAAAATTATTCCTATTAAATTAACATTGTTGAATTTTCGAATGTGTAACTTACTTTAGAGTATGTTTATTACTTATTTACTTAATTTTAATCTCCACTCATCTATAATTCCTGAAAACTGCTTTACAATTTGAAATATTTAAATGAATTTTATACATATATATATATANCAGATTTTTTTAAATTTTCGCGTTGCCGAATGTTCCTTGTGAGTAAAGCAATAAAGCTTGAACATTTTAATATTTTGGGAAATTAGAGATTTTAACATTTTGCAAGAGAAACACGTTCCTCTTTTATCTTAAAAATTTGAATGTCAACTTACCAATGAATATCGCACGACTAGCAGTGACTAGGGTAGTGTTGTCGGAACCTACATCGTCAATCGGGACGGAGAAAACGAAGCTGTCCAAATTCACATAATATTGCTCGACTGCCCGTTTGTACCACACCTCATCGATGGCTCGATGATACAGTTTGCTGAAATGATCCTCCGGTAGCGACACATCCTCATCCACTGGGAAATCCTGCCACCTTGTCAGCCCGCTGTGCGTGGCCATGAACGCCAGGGTCACCGCGAAACGTTGTTGAAATTCCTTCCTGCGAGGGAGAATACTTTAGAAACGCTGAATCGGGTCGCTTGCGAATTGAGGTGGCGTTTACTCGCGCTTTTACAAGAGCGTTTTTATAAACTTGGTTCTATACGATGTACACAAGCTTTTCAAAATCGTACGCAAGCCCGTAACTCCTTTGCGCCATTGTTTGAATAATATTTTATCAAAATTCAAATTTTCGAGTAAAAAAGAACAAGAAGAACTGCAACTACACTTTGTTTTAATTTTGTAATCGACGATAGCGATCACTATCCGTGACAAAAACTTTTATATTAAAAATCATGACTAATCAATTGTTAAAAAAATATAATATGACTTTATAAATCACTCTATCATCCTCTATTAACTTTTTTAATTTTCGAGTACTAAGAAGGTTTTATGTGCGTGTGTGCATTGAAAGTTTCTACGGTTAAAGAGAAGATTAATTTTCACTTTTATGAAATGGCGCAAACGAGCCGACGGATATTTTCAAAGACACTGTTACAGCGATCAATTAATCACACATCAGGAAAGTCCTCTTGCTTTCGCAGTGTTGCTCGCAAAAAGCGTTCCTCCTCTTCAGGCTTCCGTTCCTAAAAGACGACGTTCGCCCTATGATAGCTTGCAAGCTAATTTGTGCCGATCTCCAAGTGTCGAGAGACAAGAAGAGAAAGAAACAGAGTAAGGAAACGAAAGAGAAAAAGAGAGAAAGCGAAGATTATATCGATGAATACATTACTTTACAAAAAAGATAGCGAATTAAAAAACATTTAAGAAAATAAAAGAATATCATGAAAAATAGTAAAAGATTCTGGCAATTTTTCTATGATACTCGAGACAAGATTTTTTTTACTCCAACACAAGCAAAAGACAAAGAACACAATTTTTGTGAATGAGAAATGGAAAATAAAATGAAGTGAAAGGGAAAAAATGTTCTCTCGAAACGGATTCTGCGATGGAAAAAGCGAGAGAGCTAAGAAGAGAGAAGAAAGATAAGAAAAGAAAGAAGAGCCGGCGCTTGTATTACAGTATACGATACGAACGATCGAGAATTAACTTGTTACTTTCTAAGAATGTAAGGTGCGTTGTGATGGCGTTACCTGGTCATCTGATTCATCAGCCTAGCTAAAGGTCTGCATGGCGTCAAAGTGGTAAGTACATTAGTCAAAAGGAACAGGTGCATTTTCTATCCTCATAAAAATTATCATAAAAATAAGAGAAACAAGACAGATAAATAGAGAGAAAGAGTGAAGAGTTGTGCATAAAATAGAAAAACAAAGTAAAACACGGGACGGAGTATTCGTGTGTAAAAGTGATTCACGTGTAAGTTTTAATTCTGATAAGGAAATAATGATAGAGAAAGAGTGACCTCTCCGTCCTAAAGATGCGCCGAGCAACGACTAGTCGATCGATCCTTTTTTTTTCTATAAAAATTTTTTCGATGCATCAGTTTCTATAATAGATGAATATGAATATGAATATGACAATCAAGCCACTTGAATGATTTGTATAATATTCTTTGTGTGTGTTAAATTTTTATTATAGTTTTAATTGATATAATTTTTACTTTTTTACAAATAATGTCTTTGAATAGAATCGACGCCTCATGTAGCGATAAAGTGACGTTTATTTTAATAATGTAATATCAATTTCAGGTTGATGGTCAGTATCACATCAAAATATAAAACATTATAAAACGCGGATAATGTTATTGGAAAATTCGACCGACTAATCGCGCGCTCGTTTAGACCCGAATATAACGGGGAAAGGAAAATTCGTTCACTGTTTTCACGAGTAGCCTGGCCATGCTGTGTAGAGCGCTCTTTTACGCCGGCTAATAAATCGAAATTATGCTCACCCTGATGCCTCGCGAGTGGAGCTGGGATTTGCTGGGGTTTGCTGGGCAAACCATTCGGTTACCTTAGCATCATATACCAAACTGAGCAGCAAATTCCTGTCGCAGTAGTATGAGTTCTTGTCGGTCTTGAAAGGTTTCGCTATCGGATTGAAGGGAATAATTTTAGATGCGCAATTAATCTTAAACTTACAAGAATTATAAAAATTAATTCCGCAAAAAAAAAATATATATATATATAAAGTTACATTGATATAAAAATAATAAATGAGTATAATAAGAAGACGTAAGCTAGTAATTCAAGAGATTGTAACATACTATAAGGGGTGTGTGGAGGAGCTGAAGCGGTTTGTTCCGGCGGCTTGGATCGCTGCTTCATGTCGATCCACTTCCAGCCTGGTTGGCGGGTACGCTCCAGAAAATGTAGGAGCTGCATCTCCGAGGTATTGAACCTGTGTTCACCCTCGTAGTGGTACCTAGCGTTTGCAACAAGAGATTAGCATAAATGGTCCTATTTTTTCTAATCGCACTCCTAATCGCTTTTCCACCATTTTTCCCTTTTCTCTCAAGACTTACTTGCAGTACATCCAATCGGGGTGCACCCGCCAGTTACTACCCGCGAAGTAATCTGTCACGTTTTTTCCTACAATAGTTCAATTCATTCAACTTTGACATAGAGGGTCCGAGAGACAGATCAGCGACGAAAGCCCCTCGTCTAGTTAAGAGAAAAATTGAAAATCCAAACATTTTAGTCGCTTTGATAACTTTGATAACTAAAAAAAAATTTTGCGTCTATTATCGTGCTCTTCCATTATCGCTAAATATAAACATCATTTTTGTGTATCTATCCAAATAACCAAGCGTGATTCATCATATTGATTAATCATATTGCTGTCATGTTGCCAACAATAATACAGTTGTTTGTTGTCATGTTGCCAACGACTGCATTATTGTTGGCAACATGACAACACCCTCACAGACATTTGGCTATCTGGATATAGCTTTGCTACCCAGAAAATGTTAAACTCAAAAATGTTAAACTCGCTCAAAAATTATATCTTTGAAATATTACAATAAAATATAAGTCGCAGATTATTTTCATAATACCAATTTATCGCAATAAATTGAATTTTAATTAAAGAGCGTATGATAAGCGTCGAAAAATTTTTCAGATGTGACATTCTGCTTGTTAAAGTCGTAATCCTCTGCACGGCAAAAGCGAACTATTTCTATCGGAAAATTTAACTGTATGAAGCGTATGGCGATGTGAATTGTTTGATAACATTTTATCATTGGAAGCTTTCGTCGCTGTAGAATAATTTGTCAGAAATTTAAAATCTTATAATAAAACCTTTAACGTGTAATCGATGTGTTTCCTCAACAGCATGCACGTGATAACTTCCGGTGTGCTCGTGCTCGGGCAAGCTGACCACCACTGTGAATGGTGTGTTTGCGATTCCCATGTAATTGTATTTTCTCTTCACTCTGCCGACGCGTTTCTAAAAAGAAAAATACGATATTAATCGACACAATGAAATAATACGAATCGATCGTCTCAGAAAAGGTGTTATTTAAAAATTTGGTAATTTCTATATTAGCGTCGCCACCTCCGATTTGCCGTTTGGGTTTGGGTTAGGTTATATCTTTCGGAAATAGAGCCCCCCCACAGGGGGGCGGTACCCACTTCGTCCACGCATATATTTTACAACGCGAAGCGAGGTGAGATCGGCGCTAATATCAAGGTTTACCAAGTTCAGATTAAATGTATATGGCGTCAGAAAATTACATTCTAATATAATGTCTAAATGCACAGAATATGTCATCTTACCAAAAATGTCGAAAAATCAAAATATTCCTAAACGCGAATAGCGCTTCAAGCGACCACTTGATAATTTTCTTCAAGGACATTGTTTGCCCGGTTTTAAAATATCATAACTGTTAATTGTAGACCTAAAGAAATCTCTATGTAAATTTTGAGGCAAATCGGAGATGGCGACGCTAATATAGAAATTTACCAAAAATTTTTATTTCTTTTATAAAGAATTAAATACGAAAAAAGACATCCTTTTATGTAAAAATACCATCTATCATTATCAGAATTCATTTTTCATAATTTTAGATTTATAAAATCCTTTCTAAAATAAATAATTTAAATAGTAAAACTAAATAATTAAATAATAAAACGATATAACAAAGAGATAGGAAGCTTAAAAAGATTGAAATATTATACAGAGTGTTTCCTAAGTAAATACACAAACTTGAAGGGGATATTTCTTGGCTTATTTTAAGAAGAAAAGTTCCTATACACATGTGTCCTAAAATGCTTCGTTTTCATGTATGTAGTAATATGTAATAAATGTATAAAATGTAATAATAAAAAAAGTGTAATATGTAACAGAAAAAAATGTAATAATATCACATTAATACCACGCATACCAAATTTGAATAAAATATTTTTAAACGTTTTCCACATTTTTGAAATTTTCATTTTTTTGCACAACTTTGACATCCTGTATTTTGAAAACGATGCAGTTTAGGATACAGTTTATAGGACCTTTTTTTCTTAAAATAAACCAAGGAATATCCTCTTCAAGTTTGTGTACTTACTTAGGAAACACCCTGTATATCACTTTCTGTGACATAACATTTCTGCGAAAATAATAAGAATACTAGAAGAGTTTTTTAATAGCGATTACAAGATTGAGGTCATCAGTACAAGTTACATAATTACATACATATTTACGAATATTTATTGTCAAATAACGTTGTAATGTACTCACCATATCGTCATAATGATACTTTGTATGAAGCGTCACGCTACCGTTCGTCTGATTCACTACGTCGTTGCGAAGCTACAGAAAACGCAATAAACTGATATATAATGACTTATTAATTGTTAGCGACACGTGTAACATCTAACAACAGTATTGCTCAAACTTCAAGAGCGTGCGTGTCATTAATATGTGTTCTATGACTTTTATTACAAAAATTACTTTCTTTACATATTTGCCCTGAAAATTTGCAAGACTTTACGAAGCGATTTCTCATTTATTTACCATAATGATTCCTTCATCGAATTCCCTGGGACCTCTGTCGTGATCCATCAATTCGACCTCCGCCATATCGACGCTGTTATATGCCGGCTTTAAGATGCCCTGGAACTGTTTTACATTTTCATTTTTACTATCTATTTACTTTTATTTTATTAAAGTCAATAATTCAATGTCGATAATTTGTAAGGAAATAAAAATTATGCAATTTGATATAATGTAATATAAATACATCAAATTTCAAGATTTAAAGGCGTATATGCACGCTTATGCAAAAAAAGCTAAATGTAATTAAAGGGGCATATTTACCACTGGGCGGAGATCGGGATGAATCAGGATAAAACCATTGTTAGTCACGATGAAAGCGTAGCCGTTGACGCCGAGCTGCTCCCACGTTAGAGGGATGAAAAAAAGAAAAGACAAGAAATCGTATCATCGCGATTTACATTCGTAATATCGTCAATTGATGCATCGTCGGCTTCTTAAAGACCATGATAGATATTAATAGCGTTTTCATGCCACTCATCTTAATAAAGCTGTCGTGTTCGATGCCGAAAGAGGCACTTGACCCCTGATTCAAGTATCTCATTTATCATTTTAATATCTTATTGTGAGTTTGTGCGATCGCATCGTGTAACATCTATTTACAGAACATCTTAACTTTGTAATCCCTAATGAATTTAATTTGTATCAACGAGAGCATATCTCAAGCACGGTAGAAAAATAGAGACAGTGTTAAAATAATATATAATAAGAATTGTGTATTTTAATTTATTTCAATTAATTTCTAAAGATAATATATAAAACTACTATCAATTTTAATTTTTAGTTATAATCGTCAAATTATAAATCTTTGATGTATAGATTTATATTTCGGCTTTTAAATATTCTGGATTATAGTATATTTTCCTTTCACATTTCATTAATCAGTATTGTTGCCAACAATTTATTATAATGATAAAGATAAATCTGTTATAAAAATAAAGTGAGCTTAATTTGTGCAATGTCGCTCACCATGTGTGGCATCATCAGCTTCTGGATCTCTTCGATCGGTACATCCGTGCCGGCAACACCAAGGAGATTGGCGATCATCGTCTGCGCAGACAATTATCGATACGTTTATTAAAGAACCTGTCGCATTGCGTGACACCGCTATCATGTCATGACAACGTTAATATATCGAAATAAATTACGAATTATCATCACCACCAAATCGCATAACCAGAAGCGTATCTACCTTCTCCAACAATTCTATCACAGTAAGTTCGTCTACAGAAACACGCTTTAGTATATTAAGAAACCATATGTGCGAAAAATAATTACCCCCTCGCGTGTGTATAACAATAATGGACATAAAATTATTTTTAATTGGTGGTAAGGTATATACATATATGTCGCAAAAATTCTTTTGAGAAACGTGAATATTAAACGAGAAAATATGTTTGTCTGAATTATAAAGATGTTGATAATTTGTTAATTGTGTATTATTTTATAAATTTTATAATAAAATAATTATTGCAAAATATTTTCCTAAATAAAATAATATTTAGTGAAATAATTTCGTTCGTAATTACAATATCTGCTATATATGTACTGTACAAGAAGAGAAACATAATTAAAAAATGTTTCGATATTATAATATATATGTATAATATA